GAGAGATAGAGCAAAACGGGCGACATTTTCGCCCGTAGGGCTCTACTTTCAAGAGTTACCCCTTAAGAGCTCATAAAAAAAATATTTTTTTCTGACTTTTTTGACTTACCCCCTTTTCTTTGATACCCCCTTTCAGCCCCTTACGGTTGGTTGCCAGGATTTGCTGTAGGCGTTTCGTTTTCTAGGAGTGAACCTAAAGATACCCTGAAAATTTGAAGTCTCTAGCACATCTCCTTCTAGTGGAACAGACAGACCACAGACAGACACGAGGTCGTTTGCATAAGCCCGCTGGATAGCTTTTTCAAAGCAGAAGGGCGAGCTAAAAATGGTGTACTAACTCGTACTAACGTACTAACTCGTACACTTTGATCTGAGTGATTTCCCCCTCGTTTTAACTAACGGCTTGAGCGTTCCAGGGCTCTTTCGAAAAAGATAGATAATATGCTGCGCCAAATAACTAACCCTGCTCGGACAGTTCTCGTGAAGCTTGGTCAGAGCGCCCATCTCCCGCTCCTTGGTCTGGACCCTGTCCCTCCAGGAGAGTCGAGCGATGGGGTCCTGGAGGATGGCAAGCTGCTGTCCGAGGTCGGCGATGGCCTTCACGTGCAGCGACTCCCTCAGTACGAGTGCCGCCAGCCTCCGCTCAGAGTCTGCGAGAGCCAGCGGGTCCCAGTGCGGCTGATCCCACCCCGCGGCCTCCGCATCCTCAGCGCCCTCCTGCACCTCGGGAAGTGCGTCCGCCTGGTCGCGAGAACGGGCCTGGAACACAACAAAACAGGCGCTACACTGAGAAAAGGGTATGGAAGCCAGCAACAAACTTTGTTTGATTAGTCCGACTTCATCACCATCACAAAACATTTTGATGTCAGTAAACAAACTGTTTCTTTGCGAGCTCTACACTGGTTCATCGTCTTGACCTTTCGTATTTTACGCGCCCTATCAAATTTTTCGACAGGGGTAGTCTAATTTCCGGCGGATCCCGGCTACTGGACTTGTATCGTCACCTGATACCGGACACAAACCATGGTTGTGATCGATCAATTTTTCATTGCATCTAATCCGTCATTCATCCGAGAGTTCAATTCATTTATT